ATTTTTTATTAACCAAAAGTGATAAGATAATTATGGATTGTATTTGGATAGATAGTAAGTCCCATGATTTTTTTGCAACGGACAATCAATTTCACATATTTTTTATTAACCAAAAGTGATAAGATAGTTATGGATTGTATTTGAATAGATAGTAAGTCCCATGATTTTTGCAACGGACAATCAATTTCACATGCTTAATTAACGGAAATATCACTATTATTAAGGAGAATATCCATTTGCAACGCAAATTTCATGCTAAATTAACAAAATATCCACCGTCTTCTCACGATTTTTCTTCCAATTTTAAAGTAGAATACATAAATAGAAAGTCAAAAGTCAACTCAATTATTTTTAAGTTTCTAAAAAAGAATTTTTACATCAACCTTCTTAGATATATATAGATGGGTGTGGTTGAATATGATTTTGATTAGTTTTTAATTGATTATAATTAATTTTAAAAAATGTGATATGGTTAATTGTTAATGAAAATTTAAACTTAAATTAAAATAATATTTAAATTAAAATAATTAAAGTTGATTTAACGTAAAATTAAAAAAAATAATAATTGAAACTGATATTTAGTTAAAATTAAAGTTGATGTGATGTCTAAAAATAATTAGTTGATATTATTTATTTAAATTGATAATATTAAAGATAAAGAGGTTGAGTTAAATTTTAATTTTGATTAATTTTTTTTTCTTTTTTTATTTTTAGTTTATAACCAATCATACCCTACATGTTTCATTCTTATTATGGTGTGATGGAGGAATAAACAATTAATAAGATGGAGGAATAAACAATATTGAAATTATATTTATAAGTTAATTGTGGAGTTATTTATTATATAATATAATAATTAAAGGGGATTTTCTCCCAAAGCTCTTGAACTGCCTAATCAGTTTCTCATACATTTTTTTGTTTACTTTGCATTGTTCAATATCGAATTTTAATTCCACTTACTCTCTGATAATAAAAAAAATACATGAAATTTTTGTTTATTTTTAATTTTGTTGTAGCGGTAGTTGTTTTAGTTTGAGTCGATATGATCATGTAGGGGACATCTATTGTGTGTTTTCCTTCGGTTGGTTCCCTTTCTTGTTCCAGTTAGAAGGGATATCATTAAATAATAAAAAACTATTTAATTATATAATAAATAATTTTTTTTTTTTTTTGGTGGACTATCATTGACCTGCCAGCTGCAACAGTTGACCGCCCTAGACCGCCGGTCGTCCCCAGCACAATTTTCCGCAACCGACACCCTCCCGAAGTCCACCTGCCCGGCCGAGCCACCCATCGCCGCTGTCGGCCCCCAGCGCTTCTCCCGCAGCCCAACCGATTCTCTAACCATTGCGGCCCGGAGCTTGGTCGTCAGGTCGCCGTACACAAATGAGGCAAAGAACGAGTTTCTCACCCAAATGACGGCGTTTGGGGCCGCGATGGAGCAGCTCGCGAGGTCGATCTCTCCGATCGACAACTTGCGCACGCGAACGACAAGGTCGGGTCGAAACACGGTGAGGCCTATGGTCAGAGCGATTGCTTGGTGCAGCGTTTGTGGAGTAGAATCGGAAGCTCCACCAATGAGTTCGGCTTTCAAAGGTGGTTCAGGTTCCTCGCGGGGCTCAGCCTCCCCAAATTGGTGGCCGAGAAGTGGGAGGGTCAAGGCGGACGACGGGCTGAACATGGATTTGGGGCTAGGGCTCAATTTCGAAAATTAGACAAATTAGGGCTTAGCCTCGCCAAATTGGTGGCTGAGAAGTGGAGGGTCAAGGCGGACGACAGGCTGAACTTGGATTTGGGGCTAGGGCTCAATTTCGAAAATTAGACAAATTAGGAGGATTTGTTTGCAATTTCCAAAATTTATACTTTTGCAATTTGATCCTTGGGGATCAGTAATTTATCTATAGTTTGAATAATTATAATATGGCCCTTGAGTATTTATATTATACAATTAATGCACATTTAGTTTATTTCTTGTACATATCTATACTTATATTAAAAGGTATTCCATTTACCAGATTTAGTATAAAGAAAAGTCAACAACATTTATTGCATTACTATTTCCGTATTATACAATCTATACTTATATAGAAGGAGATTCTATTTACTATATTTACTATCCAGAAAAGTCAACTGCATTAAATGCTATTACTATTTTGGTATTATAATATTTTATTTATTTAATTAATTAATTAATTAATTTTATTTTAAAAAGGTACGTATAATAAAAAGATTTTAATAATAAAAAAAATCAAATACCAAATAAAAATGTACACTTTGACTTATTTGATTATACCAAATATATTCCTATTTAGTATATACATTAAATACTTACTAAAGTATTTATTTGTTTTATTTGTCAAAGTTAAGTATAAATTTGTTTATATTATCAAATCATAAAAAAAATATTAAATCCATATTGTAAAAAGAAATCATATAATTTTATAACAATTCGACTAGACTATTTAACAATATTTATTTTTTATTATATAATAAAATAATAATTAAATATTATATAGTGAACAACAATAAGTAAAACTGTTACTTTCTCTTATATCAAGGGATAAATTTATATGTTAAAATTAAATTTTTATTAGTATAAATATTTTAGTGAGATAATATATTAATTATTTTACAAGCTAGCCCTAACATGCTCATATTTAATGTTTTAAAAGATTTTGAAAAAAAAAACTTATAATAACTCTGTTTTTTAGACTTAAACGTTGATTAAAAGAGGTAAAAATTCATAATTTATAGACTTAAACATTGATTAACACCATAGATTGAGAGTTTATATTTAGTAAAATTCCTAATTGTAATAAAAAAATTAATTTTTGTTATATTTTAGAATATCTTTAAATTCATTATAAAAAAAAAGAAAAAAAACTACAATGAAAAAAGCAAGTCAACTATATATCGATTTGTTGTACTCCTCAAATCACATTCACAATTTGGCTACAAGGAAATGAAACTCATTGATTAAAATATTATTTTGTCAGTAGTATTAATGTACAAGAGACTTTAAGACTCCACTTGAATATTATAAAACTTTTATTGAACATTGTACAATTTTCTTGCGTATTATAAACTTTTATTGAATATTGTATCTTATAATATAATATTCTCCAAATAAATATATCTCGTGCTTTGCACGAGTCACGTACTATATATATCCCGTACATTTTTCTTATTCATGTATATAATTATAAGCCTGGATAAATAGCCTTAAAATTGTGCACCCCGTGCATCGCACGGGCTCTGTACTAGTTTAAATAATACACAGTGCATATTGTAGTTACAAATAATGCCTACTCAATTGATAATAAGAAATGCATATTTAATGCATAATACATATTTCATTGTGCATATTTAGTTCACACGAAATACATATTTAGTAAAGACATGACGAAAGGAATCAAACCAAGTATTTGATAAATAGAAGACGTAGCATTTGGGAATTGGGATGGGAAAAAAGTGCTAATAGGTGCGCCAGTTAGCCTAAAAATAAAGAAAGGGCATTACTATTCACCGCCCCCCTATTACTACTTATCGCCCCCCTCCTTGGACAATTTTGCCCCTGACATTTTTTTCCAAAAAAAAAAAACAAAAAATTGTCCGGCCGTTGAAACCGGACGGCTTTTAGCCTCTCTGACCACCGGAACCGGACGGTTGAAAAGGCGTCCGGCCGGCCGGTTCAGACGGCATAAAAGCCGTCCAGAAAGTTCATCCGGTCGGACGGGCTATGCCCGAACCGGCCGGCCGGTCGAAACCGGTCCGTCCAGTTCGGCCGGCCGGACATTTTTTTTTTATATAAATTATTATGTTATATATTCGAAATAATTATGTTATAAATTGGACATTAGATATTATCGTATTAAGAGTTAGAAATGATTATGTTACATGTTAGACTTCATTATGCTATTATTTTTTCGTAACTATCTACACGAGATATTTTATTCATTTAAGTTGAATATTTCCCCGTGTATATGCAAAAATATATCAGTAATGTAATTGTATGGATGTTAAGATAAGTTGGAATATATCCAAAAAAATCTCCAAATTTGTTACCTTAAAAATTGGGATTCCTATGATTTCATAGTTGAAAAAATCCGGTGGTTTCCTAAATAATTGGAAAGAAAATCCGACCAAATTGTTTATATTGAAATGATTCCAGTATTCTGTTTTGGAATGATTTAAGATAAAAGGAAAATAAAAAAATAAATAGTTTTTGGATTTTTTTAATTGGTTTCCACAAATGGGAAGTCAATGGTGTTGTTGACCAATTTTTTAAAAGTTTCCACAAATGATTTATTGACCTCTCTTTTTCAATATATATAGATGTGATAATACATAGAGTCTCATTTTGTTGTGTTTCTTATTTTCTCCTTATACACATACACATGTGATAATACATATGTTTTTATTTTGCTCATTGTACACGTGATGATATATGTATGTAATTTTATTGTTGTATAAATTAGAAATAATTATAATAATTATAATAACAACTATAAATTATTATATAAATAAGTTGAATAAATTGTAATCAATTATAAATTATAAAAATATTAATAATAATAGTTATAACTCAGTCCAACCATTTTTCCTTCACGGGGAAAAAAATGGCCATGTCTCACGTGGGCACACTCCACTGATCGTTTGAGTTATAATAATTATAATAACAATTATGAATTATAATAATAATAATTATTAAAATAAAAATAAATTATAATATATTTTAATGGTTATTACAATAGTTATTACATATGGAAAAATTTAATAATTATATTTCTGATTATATCTAACATTCAATTCATAGCATAATGAAGTCTAACATGTAACATAATCATTTCTAACTCCTAACACGATAATATCTAACGTCCAATTTATAACATAATTATTTCGAATATATAACATAATAATTTATATAAAAAAAAAAAAAATGTCCGGCCGGCCGAACCGGACGGACCGGTTTCGACCGGCCGTCGCTGCCGGACGGCTTTTAAGGCGNTTTTTTTTTTTACTTTTTGAAAAAAATGTCAGGGACAAAATTGTCCAAGGGGGAACAGTAAGTAGTAATAGGAGGGGCAGTAAATAGCAAATGAGAGTGTTTTCAGACTCCAATTTCAGCTTCTGGCGCTGCATAATACTTTTAGAATCTCCTAGTAGGAAAAACAAATAAATAAATGATGATGAAAACTCGTGAAAGCTGTTTTCAGTATTAGAAACACTTCAGTAATAAGTTCAAAACAAAGCTATAACAGATCGTTCATCAACAAATACAACACATTCATCCTCCAAAACAGTTTGCTAACAAAAGGATCCACCACTAGATGGCACACAATACATGCACTTTTTAACTAGAAAAAAAGTCAAACTCCATTCAATACTGCACCAAACCGAACTAAAGTTGGCAATTTTTGAAGTAAAAAAAAAAAACTCATCTAACCCTCCTCCTATCGCGCATCCTTTCCCTGTCGTGTTCATCTCTATCCCTGCTGCCACTCTTTTCACGCTCCCTTCCTCTCTCGTTTTCTGGCTCGTGCCCTCTTTCTCTCTCACGCCGTCTTTCTCTCTCTCTCCTTGCGTCAATTTCTCTCTCCCTCTCTCGGGCTGCTAATTTCCGGTGAGGGCTTCCACTCCTGCTTCGGCTGCGGCGGCGCTTTTTCTGGTGTTCGTTCGGGTCGTCATGTGGGTCCCGCCTCTCAGAGGATGAGGGCTCTGGAGTTTGACAAAGTATATATATCACAAGGTATTACAGAAACTATACAACCTAGAAAAATGGATTATTTGCACCCAAAAACGAGAAAGCATACATTGAAAATACATGAAAAGGCACGGCAGAGGTTTGATTCTATCTCACATGTTGAAGAGGTGATTAGATGTTATGAAAACACCCTTCGGCTTTTCAAATAGTTTTTCATTAACAAGTGCAGTCCAAATAAATTTACCAAACATGACGTGTAGTTGAAATGTACTTTTTACACTCAAAAGTCCAATTCTGAAAGTGAACCCAAACAAGCAATTAATATTGAGAAAATTACACTAAATCTCTTCTTATTGGCATATTTATGAAGTCTTCTTTCAAACTGCAAATACACTAACTTAAGTTTAAGAATAGTTTATTTTTGTCATTTGGTTCTAAATTGTATTGTTTTTTGGTTTGCCTCGTTTATGAATAGTTTATGTATGGTTCTATTTTGAATGTGGTATTTTTGCAAAAGTTTTCAAATAGTGCAGTAAACATGTAAGTCATATAATATTCATTAAAAAGAAGGATGTGAATGCAATATGTTAGACAAAAAGTTGGAGGGCTAATTGCAATATTTTGAAAAGCTTAGGGTTGTAATTGTAAAAAAATGACTGGCACCAGCAATTCCCATTCTCTGCTTTGCTACAGCTACATAAACAATATAGCTCACATCTACCGTGGTCCTTTAATTTTAAAATCAGCTGGATTTAATTTTATTTATTAATACGATAAAGCAAAGTTGCTTACTTCGGCCAGAGGCATTTGCGTTGGAAACAAGTAAACCATACTCAGTTTGCAACCGACTCCTATGGATGCCAACCTTTCTCTCGATTTCCTCCAAACTTTTAATCCCTCGTTCTTCAAGAGATTCACGGTATTCCATCAAAGCCACCTCCAGGCGCCTCATNCACACACATCATCACGCTCAACGTTCAAAAACTCAAAACTCCAAAATTCTTCAACATTTAATTTTCAAATTAAAATTCATTAATTAATTACCTCTGCTCCTCATTCATTCCCCCATCGCCATGCCCAGAATTACCTCCCTCAACACTGAGCTCCACCACCTCCTCACTCTTGTAAACACCGCCACCACCACCACCTGCATTCTCGCTGCCCGAAGACGAATAAGTCAACCCCAACCCCAACTCCCTTGGGCTCCCATCATCATTCTCCCCCTCACTCCCGTTGTCCTCCCGGGCCCACTTGGACGCCGGGAGAATCGGCTCGTTTTTCCCGTTCCCATCATCGACACTGCTTCTTCCGGAAACATCCGGCGGCGGGCTCGAGAACACAGCAGCAACTCTCCCCACATCGACATCCCTTCCCGAATCCGCCTCGAAACCGACCTCCTTAGAGCCTGTTAAGGTTCGGGTCACGGGCCTCAGCTCATCGTCAAGCCCGAAACCCCTCTGCTTCTCGGCCTCTTCCAAGTAGAGCAGCCGGGCCACCATCACCTCCCGTCCACCGACTAGGGACAGCCCGTTGTGGCGGCAACGCCTCTCGAGCTCGGTTAGGGGTAAATTGAGCAGCTCCTGCATGGCGGCGCCTCTGCCGATGGCCAGGGCAGCGTCTGGGTTGACTTTTTGACCAGGGGGGAGATCGGATGAACCGGGTTTGAGATGGAGGTCGGGAGTGTCGCCACATATAGAATGGAAGGGGACGACACCAGAGGTGCTCGGGCGGAGGAAGGTGGCCCGCATGCCGTTTACGTATGCGTCTGAGAAGAGGAACCAGTCGGCCCATACTTGGAGAACTTTTAGGACACGTTCCTGGTGGAAAATATGGAGAAAATGTTTGGAAATCGAGATAGTGTTTGGATTGAGATGTATTTTGAAATATTTTATCTGATTAAGGTTTTAAATAATTTGAAATTAATGTTTGTGGTACTGGTAGGTGCTGCTGTTACTTGAAGAATAGTAATATGTAAAGTGGATTGTGGTGATGTGTGGGGGACTACGAGATGTTTTTAAGTGAAAAATGGAAGTTGGGAATGACGATGATTCCTGATGGGAAAAGTTGGAAACAAACAAGATTTAGTTTTTATGAATAGTTGGAAAATGGAGATGGGTGATTGGACAGAGAGGTATTATTATAATGGCATTTACCTTCAAGGCTTCGGCAGTGATTCGTCCGGTTACGCTACGGTACAAGTCGTTGAAGCTTTCGATTATGTCGGGAAGAGTAGCCTCGAATTTGGTACGATAGGCGGATGCATTCTTGACGGGGGCACTGCTGTTGTGAAGGATGTCCGAGACAAGCATCAGTCGAGCAACTTTGGTAGGGATCGGGGTTTCTTTTAGGGTCAGTGACTCAGTCAACACTTCAACAACCTTGAATGAAAAGAAGTGTGTTACAAGAAAAAAACATTACCAAAGCTGTTAAATCTCCTAATGGACCTCACCCCTTTCAGCTGACAGGTAGAATTACCAATATCACATTGAATTAATTTGAACTTTAACTAGAACAGTCGACTCAAGCTGAAAATATTAATCACTAATTGCTTTCAGCCACAAATGTTGATCCTTCCAGAATATTTTTGTGTTTTCTCTCTCTTTACCATAGGCCCACAATCCATGTGCTGATGAATTTAATATTTCTTATGAACTCATTCACTTTCCCATGAAACTGATTTATTACGGCCAGCAAACTTAGTCTATTAACATAAGCTCAAGCAATTACCTCTCCCGCAGCATCTGCATTATCCAGGGCAAACCCCATGGCTTCTTTGATCTGGCTCCTTTCTAAGGTTAACGCACGTAACATATCCTCAAACTCGTCTCTTTGGGCATCTGTTAGAGTTCGTTCAACCTCCACACGCTGTAGTAAATCAGATAGAGCCAATAAAATCAAAATCACAAAGTTATGGGCCCAGATTATATTCATATGAAACAGAACATAGAAAAATCAGCAAACAGCACAAAGGACCGAGTTAGAAGATACTTTGCTTTTCCCCGCAGCATAAGTGCTCACAGCTTCCTTCTCATGATCTGGACCTTTGGCTATTGGTAGAGGAGGTGGTATCCATCTTTACATGCAAATATCCGGGGAAAAGAATTGAAAAACATAAATCACACACAATCAAAAGATTCACATAAGAAGCATTCTCTCCCAATAGCTGTCAAAGGCTTTATAATGATCCTTTTTATGCCAACAAGTAATGTCACATGACCAGTATGATCGTCATGCACAAATGCAGTTACAGGATTTCAATCAATAAACATTTGTTTGCAGAAAAGATCTAAGGCTACGTTTGGATTGAGGGATTTAAAATCCCTTGATAAATACAAATTTTCTACTTTCAAACTCCTTGAATAGATTTGTGGAAAGGATTATAAATCCATTGTCTAGCTCACACAGATGGTGTTGACTAACGGTGGTGATGAATCTAAATGAAGAGTCATACTCGCAGACGGTCGTCAACGGTAGGATAAACAATGGATTTCAAAAGACTAGGTTTGATGAGTCATTTGAATCCTTGAAAATAATGACTAAAATATATCTAGCGTGAATTTGGAATCCTCCAACTTCTATTATCATCCCAACATGCATAGGGATTTGAACTTGTAAATTTGAAATCTAAAAGTTTCAAATCCCTCAATAACTTCCTCAATCCAAACGTAGCCTAAATGCACATATAGGAAAGAAACTAGGCTTTACCTTCCACTGCCAGTGATCATGATGAAAGGCTCCGTTCGCCATCTCTGAAGAGTATCACCCTGCACTTACACACATGTATTTGATGGTTATTACTCCTTATGATAAATTATGTGGTACATATTACAGTTAAACCAAACAAAAACAATGTACAACATGAAGTAGCACAAACCATTTTTCATTTCCAGCTGACAATCTCACCTGAGCAAATGAATATAGCCTCCAAACATAGTAAGTGTGTTCCCTTGAGCCAAGCTCAAACAAGAAATTGAACAAAGGATTCCCACGGCCCCGCTCCATTATTGCTTGTTCAAAAGCACAGCCGCCGTCAAGAACATAGAGAGCCATTGTGTCAATAACATGCTGAAGATGGCCATCATCGGGAAGAACCACAGTAATATCGGGAACATTTGGGGTAAGTACCTGCTCGACAAAAGCAGACAATTGTATATTGATCATAGTCAACATTAACAGTATTAACTATAGTATGAGAAGCTCCATTGATCTAAAATATTTCAATTTAGAGGAGTATCTATAGATACCTATTGACGTACATAGTTGCAAGATACCCATAAACTAAAAGTTCAACACAACACCTTTTTCACACTTTATGAATGGTTTGCCAATGGAGCTGGAAGAGTCATTGTTGACAATTCTCCTGGCATAGTGCTAATAATGGACTAGATCAAAATGCCTCAATTAAATTCTAGTGCTTCTTCTATTAGTGAAGTTTCTAGAAAAAAAAAAATATATCAAACGGCGCAATGCACCTTGGGTCACTACGGAAACAGCCTCCTTGTATAATTACAAGGGTAAGGTCTGCGTACAACTGACCCCCCAGACCCCAACTTGTTGGGAATATACTGGGTATGTTGTTGTTGTTATGAATGGTTCATGGATCAGTAGCAGATGGTTATGTATAGAATGAGTCATAAGTAAGAACATCGCACTAGTAGCATTGATGCAACAATCCGCAATAATATAGAGATTTTTATAGGGCCCTTGGACGGACTTCTTTAATACTCCAATAAATCCCTACCTGAACTTTCATTTACTTCAGTTTTAAGTAATAAGACAAAGGTTTATATGTATTCTTTTCACCATGTTTCAACATTTTTCACAAGAAATGACAATCTTGGATTTTAAGTCTTTCAACAATTATAGAACGTCCAACAACATTTATTTGCCAACATAAACAACCAAAAGTGTGAATTGCAAGTAACACCTACCAACTCTGAGTTCTGGCTTGGGACGCTGGTTACTGGGGGACCAGAAGGGCCAGACAAAATGACAGTCGCGCCCTGAAATTCAAGGGAGAAAATAAGATGTAATTATCATGCGATTAGGCTCAAAAGAATAATCACAGAACATATTAGATCCTCTCAGCTCTAACAATGGATCAAAAAATCAATCAGAATATGATCAAGAAAAAAAGACAAACCAACCTCCTTGCTCCTGATGGCCATCTGTCCAGGGGGTGGAGCAGGAAGTGCCTGTGAAGGAAGGGAAACCGACTTACCCCACCCAATCTTCAACTCATATTCATAGACCACCACACCTGGATCAAAGAAAAATACAGTTAGCAACTTTGACTAGTTGCAACAACCAGAGATGAATCATTTACACACAAGCCCCCAAGTCAAACAGCAATCATCATATCAATATCATACATAAGCAAATATTTGACAATAAACATTAGAGAAACCTTGCATTTCATCCTTTGCAGCTTGAGCATCAAGTCGATTCATGAAAGCAACAAACCCACAATTCCTTTGCCGTCTCTTTTCCTCTTCCGTTCTAGGCCACATAATTTTAACACTAGCAATAGGCCCAAACCTTCCAAATGTCCGTAAAAGGAAATTCTCATCAACCTGAAAAGGGAAGAACATAAAAAGTATTAAGAAAAATCTGATGAGAAGTTCCCAGACGTAAGGTAGAAGGTTACACACTAAGAGGTCAAGATATTCATGAATAAGGTAAGCAGTGGAAATGTTTCAACCTGAGGTGATAAGTTTCCCACATAAAGATTTGTGGTTTGTGGATCTCCATCATCAAACGATCCAGGTCTTCCCATTGGATCAAATTCATCTGGTAGCTCATCAAAACGGCTGGATGGCTGAGGGAGAGAAACAAATAAATGATTACTTCAAGCTAAATTAGAAACAAGCAGATAAGACTAGATCCATTATATTCATTAGTCTATTCACAGATAGATTATCGCAAATCATTAACTAGGTATTGTAGAAAAGAACCATCCAAAAAAGAGAAACTGCACAATATTGCCCAGGGGGTAGTAGGTACGTAAACATAGCAAAAGAATAACGATTATAAAATTAGAACCATTCAATACAATGACAACATAAAAAATAAAGATATTTGGGCAGTAGAGCTCCATGTTTTAGTAGAGCTAACAAAATCCTAAAAACCACTAACCGTAGAACTATCACCATGACGCATATCACGCCAACCTTCACGCTCTTGATTCCGCCTCTCCCTCATCTCTTGTTCTTGCTTCAGCTCCTCCATAAAATGATCAATATTCCTCGACTTCCCCTTTTCTCTCTCCTTTGGCTTCTCCTCTTTCTAGAGGTAGTGACAAATAACTCAAAAAGTAATAAACAATTAAAGAGTGAAAAAGGGGGGGAAGGAAGGTGCTTACTTTCTTTTCATATTCTTTACCCTTTGTTGCCATCGGAGGTGGGATGAAAGATGGTACATACCTGCAGAAAGTTTGAGAATAATCTAATACCTATTCCAGTGATAAGAACTTCCAAGACAATGAGAAAACAACTATTTCGAAAGATAAAGTCTAGAAAGAGAAAAAGAAAAGGAAGGAAGCCTAGAAGACAAACAGGACTCGAATTCCTCAAAAGAGATGCCAACTACATAAGACCAACAAAAGGTCCAGGCCCTTCAAGTAAGTCTACAGGTTTTAAATCTACGGTGACGGATAAACTCGCAAAAAGTTTACTTTTCGTTCGTCTGAAAAATTGAGACATGCATATCATCTAACCATTTTGTTCCCAAGCAATGATGACTTAAGGTCATATTAATTGATAATACCTAAGTTGTTCTAATTTCTTTCGTACAAAATGTTAATGCTCCCCGGATTATTCCCTTTTACTTATAATGCCATGCACATATAATTAGTTGGATAGATCTGACATATCCTATCTTAATATAGAAATACCAAATGAAGTTATCAAGTTGTTGTTGGCCTATATTCATAGTTTTTCACCTAAACCCAAAAGCTCGGTCTGGCATGTGTGCTATTAGCATTTTGGTTCAAAAATGTTGAAATTAACACCAAAGAATAAATAATGACTTCACATTTCAGCAAATCTTATTCCAATGAGCCAAGCAACCAAACAAGACAATATTTTAATTTAATCAATCCAGTTCCACACCTTACACGACCCTGATCGAATTCAAAATCTAAAAACATACTATGGCATCATAACATGATGAGTACTTTACAAGGAAAATATCGCAATGTATTGCTTGCCTTCAAAACATCCATCCAAAACCTAAATCAGGCCAAGAATGAATTAGTTATTCTCCAGCTCAGGGATCGTCATGGAGGAAGTTTGAATCATAAGGCAGGAACAGAAGTTTGAGCCGTAAGTCCTGCGAATATGCAAAAGGACTCATGCTAGGCTTCAATAGGTTAGAAGCCTTGAAGGTGGTCTGCATCCAATGGTTTCCACAGGAAGTACATATATCGAGGGCCAACATATCCCTATATATGGATTACTACACATAGAAACACAATCTCTCTGTTTATTTTACTTTATTATTAAAAACTAGCTGACTTTATTCTTCACCAATATAAGTAAAACTGACACACATCCACACACTTCGCCATGACACAGATTCATAAAGCACGCTCTTCATCAAAACTTGCACCACGATGTCTCTCTCTATGCTGTTTACTCCTGGCAAGTTGCAGCATACTTCAACACAAGAAGCATCTTCCTCTCATGGGCCAGTAAGAGGAACTTTGAATATATAAATTTAAAAAAAAAAATCCCATAACACTATCTTCTTGTGTAGAATAAATAAATGATGCAATCAATTCTTGGAACACATTTATTTGCAAAAGCAAATAAAATCGCATCACTGAGCCAGTTCTTTAGAACTAAGAAAAAACTAAGACAACACATTCAGCATGTGAATATATCATCAAAATAAACTTCTTGTACTTAAACTTCTGATGATAAGAGCATTGCAACATAGTTAACCAAAAGCATTTGTTTACCTACTCCCTTTCTTTAAACCAGAACCCTCATCTTTGGAATTTCCACCTGCCATCCGCGAATGAATAGAAAGCCCATATTTTTATTAATGTGTCCATGTGAAAAATAAATAATTCATTTATCCACAATGCAAAATAATGGACAGGATTAATTTAATCACAATAAATTAAAATTTAAAACTATATGTGTACTATATTACACTTATACATACAATTGATATCATACTGACCTTCGGAGTCATTTTTCAGCTTCTCATTAGGATTTATCATTCCACCTCTGACAAAAGCCTTCGACCCTGGGGTATTATCCGCTTGAAATGATTCTACAAATTCTTGATACAACCGAGCAGTTTCATCCTCGGCCCTCTGAAACATGAAACAATCAGAATCAGCAGGAATACAGGATACAGAAATACTCAAAATTTCTCTCAATTATATTATATGGCGGTGAGCAAGCAATTGGAATGCCTTTTTCTTCGCCTCTTCCTCTTCTCTATGCTTCTGAAATGGGGTCTTCTTCCGGGTACTCATGTTTCCTATCTGTCTAATTCCAGAAAACTCAAATTAGCTCATTCCGGATAGAAAGAAAAAGAATTGTTCAAAGACAATATGACTAGACGGTTCTGCTCCCCTACGGGTAGGCATGTCAAAACTGGCCGGCGGGGCGGGGCATGCCGAAACCCGCCGTTTGGCAGGGCGGCCTGCCATCCAGGCGGTTCTTTAAAATGCCACCCACCAAATTTAAAAAACCAAAAAAAAATAAAAATGGCTGCAGCTGTGACTCTGCTGAGGCCCAAAAGAACTGGAAAAACTCACAAATTCAGAGTTCAGCAACCAACCATACGCATCAAAAATTATATTGTGCAAAATTAATCAATAAGTCCAACATTAATCAAAGTTCTAATGTGCTCACACTTCACAGAATCAAAGTCCACATACGCATCCAAAATTAACCAATAAGCCAAAAAGTTCGGCCATCATTACCGGAATGGAAGCTGCCACACCGCTCGGAGTCACTCTCTGAGCCGCTGCCTCACCGCTCACCGCTCGGCGGCTCGCACACTCGCTTCCTCACAGCCGCCGCCCGTCGGCCGTCTCGAAGGTCTCGCAGTCTCGGTTCTCGACTCCGGACTCTCAGGTCTCGCTTCTCGCCTGCCACAGTGCCGTCGTCGCCGCTAGGGTTGAGAGAATAGGGTTTTGTCCCAAATAGTTGAGAGATGAGATTAGGATTTAGGGTAGGGATTGACGGATCGTCTTCTTCATTTGTGTTCTCTTTTCTGAAATGGAAAAAGAAGAAGCGTGTTGAGTTTGAGTGACAACAATGTCAATTGTGTTATCAAAATTTATTAACAAAAAAAACAAAAAAAAACAAACACAAAATCACTAATTTTTTTTAACAATAGGGCCCTGGCGGGTCGACCCGTTTAGGATTTCTTTTTGCCGGGCCTTTAATATGGGGCTCAACTAGGGATGTAAACAAATCGAGCCGAGTCGAGCATTGGTCTTATCGAGCAGGATTGAATTTTTTTTTTGAGCTGCTCAAGCTCGATTTTTTAGGCTCGAGCTCGACTCGATAAGAAAATACAATAACTCGAGCTCGGTTCGAGGTCGACTCGAATTTAAAATGCTCGAGCTCCGCTCGAGTTCGGTTCGAAAATTTTTAAATAATTTTGTCAAATTATATATATAGAAGGGGTATTTTAATAATTTACCATATATCTCAAGTCGCTCGCGAGCCGCTCGACAATATAAAATATGGACTCGAGCTCGACTCGAGTTCATGCTTGAGCCGCTCGAGCTCGACTCGACAAACTCGAGCTCGAGCCGAGCTTTGACTCGAGCGCTCGCGCGCGAGCCGCTCGACTCGTGTGCAGCTCTAGGCTCAACCTACTGAGCGATCCATATTGACAAGTCTAAAGTGAGCTTCAATATAGTTGCTCAACTCATCCTTTTGGCAAGGCGGACCAATTTGATAGGTTTATCTACAGGTCTATCTATAGGCAATTTAATATGTCCACTTCTTATATGGCACATGCACATCACTAATTTATTTTAATTAATAAAATTATTTTTTTCCTTCAAACCGATTTATCAATTTTTTTCCATTCTTCTCCATCAAAGTCTATCGAAATTTTTCAAGGCCCTCAGTTGCGAAGCCTCAATCAAATGAGCCCTCATACTGAAATCAATCGGCATATAAACTAAAAATGCATACTTGTGTAAAAATGCACAAAATTTGACTAAAAACTACATTACAACAAATTTGCAGTCAATTTCCAACTACGAATTTGCACCAACAATACTAACTTGGAGAAACGTGTAACAATTAAGAAATCCTTCTAACATAAGGTTAATATACAAATACAATAACAACAACAACAAAAAAAAAAAAAAAAAANAAAAAAAAAAAAAAAAAAAGGATCAACTTGAGTAGTTAGCTCGGGCAAAGCGGTCTATGAGAGTTTTAGCCAGTTCATAAGTAAGCAAGTCAGCCAAGGACCTCGTAATCGAGAAGAAAATGACATGGAGATACCAACCTCTAGGAGCTCGGTAATAAAGTCGACCTTGAGGTATTGAGGTCGTAAGACCTAAGGTCAAGATCGACCTCAGGACTAGGTCAGGCTCGACCTTGGCTAAAGTCACAGCAAGTATGTTAGGAGGTCTTGGCCTGAGGACTTAAAGGCTATATAGTAAGGGGAAAGAATCATAATAAGGGGAAAAAAATATCAATCACTATGAAGACTTTCCAAGATAGAGATGTGGTAAATAGGAAATGTGATTCAATGGATCTCTTTCCGAACAAGGACTCTCTTGGGCATCAAGACATCTATCCTATAAAAGGGTGTCAGGTTCTTCTTCATTAAGATATTGCATTATTATGCCTTAAATTGTATATTTCCCAGATATCATCGTTCAGTAAATTTTGACTTGAGCGTCGAAAGTTTTTCGCCGGAACCCCTCCCAGCGTATTGTAGGTCACCGGAGATCAAAGAAGAAAGAGTTTCGCGGCGCAGTTCATGACAAAAATTGACGCAACAAATTGCTGTCGTCTGTGGGAACGACTTTGGTCTATTTACCGGCTATAAGGGACTACCAGTCTTTTCTCCCAAACTTTGTGAAATTTAAAGTTATGCCAAGTGACAATTCCAAGAAAAACATTGAGAAAAAGTTGGAGGCCGCATGGCCAAAACAGTCACATGGGTCCGGCCCTCCTCAGGGCTGATCGCAATCTTCAAACGCACTCATCATGCCTCAAGAGACACTAATTACACCTCGAACAAGTGTGACACCATCAACAGATGCACCAGGAGGATCTTTGGGTGGGGATGAAGTGCTTAGTGGTCTGCGAAAAAATAGGACTAGGGATTGTGGTCCGTGCAGTGGATCAGGAGGATGAACAACAACAAGACGGGTATTGGTCAATCGACCTAGGAGCAGGTCAAAGTGCAACGGACTAATGGCGAAAGGATCCTCGAAAGGTTAACCGAGAGGAATAACAGTATTGTAGCCGAAGTGGTGGCTCGAGTTCAGGAGCCAGACAGCCAGATCCCACTATGTTGCAACCATAGCCCCGGAAGAGGACTGAGGATAAAGATTTCCAAGCATAATTGTTGTCAACGACTACAACTAGGCCCCACAGAAAACTGCATTAGAAAGGTTAGAAGCTTAGGCCAAAGAGCTGTAAGCTAAGGTCGAAAAAAGGGTGGTCCCTAGGGTCCATGGTTATCCTTTTCTAAACGATGTCCTAGATGTAGACCTGCCTAGCAACTTTTGGGAATTGAAGCACGACACCAACAGCTACACTTCCAGCCGGACCGTGTCCGCGCGCGGCCATGAAGGTCACAGCCGATGATGAGATCAAGAAGTGGTCACCGGTCAGATATTTATATTTTTTAGTATTAATGACTTGTTTTCATTTGGGGGGTTTTCTTTGGAATACTTGATATGATTAAGAGAGCTACTTGTAGTATCCTAACTTTCAATTTATTTCAATTTAGTACGTGAGGCAAATTGGTGATTTAATATAAGTTTCAGAGATTTAGTTGCAATTTTCAAGAATTTCAATTTATTAAAATTTATTTTATGATTAAAAATTATAAGTTACAAAAAAATAATAAATGCACAATAATGTTTAGTACAACACGCAATACAATGTGTGTATATGCACAATAAAAGTTCAAATAAATTATGGAATGTAGAATATTGTTCTTCGGTCAATTCGGTTGAACCGACAGACTAAAATGTCAAAACCTAAATAAACGGTTCGAACTTTTGAAAAACATTGAACGATCGATTTTTTAAACATGTATTACATGGGTTGAGGAATATATTACCGAATAACAATATATTAAACATGTATTCTGTTGTTGTCAATATTTTGAAAAATTTGGTCAATAGATACACAGTATTGTTAATCGGTTGGCGTCGATATTTTGATATTTTTATATATTTATTTACTATTTTTTTTCAGAAGTAACTAAATTTTTAAAAGTAAAAACAGATAATCGAACTGAAATGTAAAAATTCCCCAAAAAGTTTAGTTCGATCGTTGTTGTGCAGTCTCGCAGTCATTAATGTGCAGTTTGTCTGACCATATTGTGCACAGTTTCAGTCACTATTGTGCAGTCTGAATTAGTTGAACTTTTCTCTCAAACCAAATTAAAATTGAACTGAATTAATTGGTTTATTCGATTGTTTAATCGAATTAAACGAAATAACTTAAATAAAATATTATTTATATTATAAAAATATATTTAGTATTAACATCTGAAAAATATATTAAAAGTGCATTTGGTGGACGTCGATACTCTAAAAAATTTGGTTAATATATACAACAACAATGTTAAACGGTTAGCGTCGATATTTTGGTATTTTTATATGTTTAGCGTCGATATTTTGGTATTTTTATATGTTTATTTAATAATTTATATTTTTTTGGTAGAAATAACCAAAGTTTAAAAAATTCAAACAAACAATCGAACTTAAATATAAAAATCCGACCAAAAAATTTTAGTTCGGTCGCTGACGTGCAGTCTGAGAGTCATTTATGTGCAACTCGTCTAACATATTGTGCACGATTTCAGTTGCTGCTATGAACAATAGGTGGATCGGAGGAATATTCTAAATACTCGAGACCCTTAACAATGGAGATTATAATCGCAACCCTTTTATCCCAATGCATCAACTCGACGCACTTCCAATCTAACAACACGTCCTGTCAACTCCCATTCCGCATTTACTCGTACACCAACACCAATTTTCTCCCTCTCATTCTCTTCCAACGGCCATAACATATAAATCTGCAGTTGCCACCTCTATCTTCGGAGGACGAGAATTCGAGCACGCCGACAACGTGAGGGCAGCAGGCGATATCTATGTGTGTGAGCTGGATGGGTGGTGGGTCTAGTGGGGGTCCACTAGCAGATAAATGAAAATGTTCAAAATACCCTTAATAAAGATATAATTCTACTTTTTTGGATTGTCCTATCTCCTCCTATCTGATGACTAAGATTTATTCTTATTTCTTTCTCTATACCAACAAAAGCAAAATTTAATTTATTTATTTATTTCATATAATAATAAATAATAATAATTATATATATAAAAAAAAAATCATCACGACAAGTAGACCTCGAAGCTAGCGGTGGTGACTGCCCGACACACGGGGCACACTCCCGCCTCACACTCCCTACACAAACACAAGTGCCTGCACGGCATCAACAGCACCGACGCCTCATTCCTCCCGCACGACCTGCACCTCACTCTCACCAAATCCCTCTCAGTGTAAGAATCTGCATCACTCTCCCCAATGCCTTCCTTGTGGAGGTTTGCCCGAAGGACATTTATCACAGACTCATTGTACTTAGCCATATAGCACCACTTTTGGGCCTCCCATGTTGCATGCTTCACTCTCTCCATAAGCTCCTTGTTCTTGCCAGCCACGCGCTCGAGCTCCACTTCCTTCTCTTGCATCTTCTTGGCCACTTCATTTTCCACAGCTGCCAGGAATGAGGCCATGTGTTTATCACGTATGTCCCGCACCCCTTTTCTCATCTTCTCTTCCTGAAAATATACAACTCATTTTGTCTTTCCATATTACAAATAAATCCATTTAAAATAAATGTCCACTTCAATCCAAGAAATATGAATTTGTTGTAAACTAGTACCTGAATTCTAATCAAGTGATCGAGCGCTTTATTTTGCTCATCGATTTCTCGCTTCATGTCATTGCTCAATGCAGAAAAGAGTGAAGATGCACTACCCATTAAGCTTCCACTTGCGCACGTTATAGACGAGTTTCGCTCGTCATCATCATAACACAACCTTAAACCGGTGGACACGAGATTCATGTTCAAAATACTGGCTTTTCTATCAGTCTCATCTCAAAAAATTGTACTATTTAAAGAAAATTGAATCTTTTGATTGCTCGGAAATGGTTCGGCATCCCCACCGCATCTATTTTGCAGTAAGAATTGAGGGTAGTCATGTTTGTCAAGATAATTTACAGTGTCACCATGAAATTCTATAGGTACTGCAACAACAAATGGAGAATAACATATCAAATATACACTCATTATGTTATCAGGGTAGTAAACTCTAAACTTGTGGAAGAACCCAATACCACCCTCCAAACTGTTAAACTCAACTGCAAAATAACAGTCATATATCAAGCAAATCCTAAGAAAACTCAAAATGAGGGTGTGTTTAGAGCCAGCCCCCTAAAGGAGCATAGTTTTCATGTTAAAATATGCTAACAATGATATTGAAAAGCAGGGTATGATAGTTTATAGTGAATATATGTGAGACCAGATAGCACTCACCATTTCCACAGAGCTTGAGCTGGTTTGATATATCTACATTGTACTGAAATTGATTGTCAAGAAAAGACGGGACTGCAGTACTGCTGTTGTTACGTCTAAACATCTTGGTAACTTATAATCAAACCACCAATCCTGAAAAATAGAACACCAAAAATTATAAAGAAAACCATTGATTTCGTATGAAACCATAATTTGATAATCAAAGTATTAGAGAGACATTCATCATCATCATCATCATTGTTATTGTTGTTGTTAATATTATTACTACTATAATTATTATTATTATTTTGTAGTAAATTGGTACCATAAAAGCTGATTAGGCCAGATTTCTATGAGTGTTGAAAAATTCACATTCAAAGTTCTTCAGTTCTTCATAAGTCGGATGGAGAATTGAGAAGAAGTCGAATAACAAACATGAGTCATTTGACAAATTCCGCTCAGCATCACCAGAAATTTGCAGCATGTACATAGAAATGATACTTTAGCATTCTTACTTGAAACAATAAGACTCAAGTAGCACAATTTATAGTTAGTTTCTTAAATGCCATTATTGCCATTCATGAAAACCGACATGTTGTAGCATTCACAACAAACACGCGGAAAACGTCAGAGCAAAACTATTGCCTCTATGTACAAACATGAAAAGTTCAAGACGTGGAAGTCACATGGATGGCATGCCCATGACCTTTGTATAAGCAAAATTTACTGACAATTCTTTTCTGATACTCAAATCTCCTATTTCCAAGCACATAATATTCTTCTTCAAGTATAACAATTCATTACTTAAATGCTAGCTTGGTTAGTTCAACCTGAAACCTAGTTTCTCATGAGCAGGCTGATTTTTGCTCGGGTACAAAGAACGAGGAATGATACATTTTCTAGTGGCTTAGAAACTCCTTCCTAATCAGGGCATAAATACAGAAAAACAACTACATGAACAAGCACATATGCATTCATGTATGTATGAATAAAATATAAAACAAGAAAAATAAATCATCATATTATAATGAGACAACATGAGCAAAAGGATTTATAGTTTAACTAATTCAGGATTCCCTTGTCTGCATTCAACATCAACTTAAAAGCTTAGAAACACAGTACACCTACACACACACACACACACACACAAAAGAAGGTGCCATCTGTGATGAACTTATACCAGTAATATCAGAAGTAGAAACACATCTACATCCTCTAAAAACATTCAAAACAGGAAATTCGTGATTTTAGTGAAAAACATAAGAAACCACTAATTACTTTTAGTGCATCTATCAATAACTGTTTCACAAATTCTTCATGGTTTTAGCTATAAATCATAACATGCTCCAACTCCAGAGA